ATCATATGTCAATTTACTTAAGTATTAATAAAAGTCTGGGGCAGGAGCTACACCCCAAATATTAAAAAAAAAAAATATTTTAAAAATATTTTAAAATAAATTTTTTAAAAATATTTTTAAAACATTATTTTAATATTATTAATAATATTATAAAAATATTATTTTTTATATTTTAAAAACATTTTTAAAATAAGCTTTTTAAACATGTTTTTAAAACATTATTTTAATATTATTAAAACTATTTTAAAAATATTAAACCAATATTTTAATTCATGATCCGCCGATATTGATACAAATTAGTTAGTATAACATGGGGCAAAAATTATATAGATTTCTAGTTAATTATGAAAAAGTCGTGAATGTTGGGCAATAAGATAATATAAAATATTCATTATTTTTTTAAAACCGCTTTTTAATATATGAATCTTCATAACGTTACACTTTGTTCTGAGCAATTTTTTAGCTAATTTGTCTTTTTATCTAAAAGGTCCAATTAGTGGGTGAAGTCAGATTGGTGCTTTATTTTCATACCAACTTTAATGATTCCATTTCATAGTTCACTAATTAAAGTTATTTACACCATTAATAAAGCTGAGCTATAAGATGAGAAATGATTCAAATGTATCCACCTCAAAATATTTTATAATAAAATATTATATAGTATATCATCTCATGAGATATTTCTAAATATATATTCTTTAGTATAAAATTTAATCAAAAATCTGCTAGTTGACCAAAGAAAAGGCTCATGAATATCTTTTTTCTCCTCCTAATTCCTTCACCAGGTGCTCATTTTTATTCTTATTCTCAAGTATACAATGACTATCTTGTAATTAGTATAAGCTTTTTTTTGATATGGTAAAGACAAATTATCGTACAAGTCTTATATAACAACCTGTGCTTTTTTTAAAAGCTTATTTGCACAGTATATATATAAAAGTATATACTAGTAAAGAGTGATGCATGGGTTGTTACGTCAGACCCGTATGATAAATAGCTTGTTATAAAAACGCTATTGGCTTTCAATTCAGTATAAAAAGGTTGATTATAATTTTTTGATAATAAAAAATAAAATTATATAAAGAAAAGAAAATTTCACCTTATGAAAATACAAATAAATATCTTTATTATATAAATCATTATTATTATCACTGAAGCATTGTTTGTTCAAAACCATCACATGATTATCCAGCTGTATACATTTATAGTATGCAAATTAAATGAATCATATTGTCATACCATGCCATAATAATTAACTTTTAATTAAAAGTTTTTTTTAAAAAAAAGAGTTAATTACAAATCAAAGCTTTTTGCTCATCAAATTGATTTATAGCCAAGATCACAGAGATTAATGATGCACATAATATATTGTAAGTAACTACAAAGTAATTAAAAGCCAAGTGAAGAACTTAAGTATCTTATATCTATACTATTTTATAATACATATAAAAAATGGCTGTGTTCTGGTTTGCATATAAATATAGGTTTTATTTATATTGCTTACCATTATCAAACTTTAGAATTAAGATTATGCAGTATGAAATTTGAAAAAGCGCTAATTTGCTTATAAATAGCTGTATTGTTAGTATATTTTATTCCTTTATAACTAATATAACATTTGCGAAAATTATTTTTAATGCTTCCTAAAAAAGCTGGTTTAAAACAAAGTTCAACTATCTCTAAGAAAGAGACCATATCTGCAGGAAAAAAAAGAAGGCAAAAAAGCACTTACATTCTTAGATAAAAAAACACAACTTCAATTAAAAATAAGAAAATCAATAATGATCAGAATAAGATTGGCGAAAGCTACGATCCTGTTGAAAGCTCTAATTATAATGACGTTAATGATTTTAATAAAGTATTTCAAATACAATATAGTCATTCTCGATCTCAATCTCATTCTCGATCTTGATCTTATTCTCAATCTCAATCTTGTTCTCGATCGCTGCCCTCTCAATCAAGATATTCTCTGTCAAGACGTTCTTATTCTTATTCTTGACATTCTTCTTTACAACGTTCTCATTTACGACAACGTTCATATTCATGACATTCTCCTTTACAACATTCTCATTCACAATAGCACTCCCACTCACGACACTCTCCTCTACAACGTTCTTATTCACGCTACTCTCCTTTACGCCATTCTAGTTCACAAAGTCAATCACAGCCCAATAACTGCAAGATACTCTTATTTAAATCAGATTATGAAGCTGCAGCATATGTTGCTGAAAGACCAGAACTTTTAAAAATTGCAGTACAAATAGCTCAGTATGATGGCCTTAAAGTGTCAGACAATGAAGAAAAAACCACAGTTCTTACTCAACTAGTAAGACATCCTATTTTTTATTGTATAATCATTATTAAAAAATGAAGTGGGAAGAGGAAAAATTAGTGCTTTTATTGAAAAGTTGATAAGCAAAAAATTAAGTAAACAAAAGCAAAAGTTGGCTCAAGAATACCAAGAAGCGGCTAAGAATAAAAATTGCTGAAAAGAAAGCCAAGAATGAGAAAAGCCCAAATGACAGATTGAAATAACCAAGATGGCAGAGAAAATAATTAAACATGGTGATATTTACAAATCAACAAAACTATTATAGTATTGTTATTTCTATTACTTCGGATATGGATAGTCTTTATTCTTGGGAAGAAGTTATTCTTTTGAAGGAAAAGACCAGAAAATTCTTACTGACCAAATTTGAAGTGTTATCAAAAAAGCTAAGAGAATATAAAGGTCAAGTTAGTTATAAATCCTAATTAAAACTGAAAAAGCTCTTGAACAACAATAAAATTTACCTCCCAAACTCCTGAAGAAAAAAAATCATGATTATTAAAAAAAAGGCCGAATAAGTATAGTTTTGGCTTTAAAAAAAGAATTGCCTTATTTTTTTCATACAAATTAGGATCTTTGCTAGGAAAATGTCCCTCCGAAGTTATGTAAACTTTATAAATAAAAATTCGGATTTGCTAACAATCTAATAGTCTAATTTAAATGAACTTTTTTTTATTTCTAGAACTTACTAATCTCTACAGAATAAAAAAAAAAGTTTATTCGAATAGGCTCATATTGAATAGTGGCAAATTTGAATAAAATCCACATAGCCTTGGAGGGTCATTTTCCTAGCATTGTAAAATATTATTTCCAAGATTTTTTATCAAATTATTGATAGTAAGAACACATTTGTAAAGGCTATATACGACTCAACATAGTCTTTAGTTGTCATTTAAAATTTGTTGATTTTTCAACTTCAAACTCATTAAGATAACAATGCCAGTACTATATGTCCTATTATTGTGCCTTATCTCAACCAATTCTTACAGTGATCTTAGAAATAAAAATATTTCAGACGTCTCAGTTGCTGAAGAATATCACATTTAAACGATCCCTGGTGGTATGATATATACTCTTTAAAGATAAGTCAGATCATTCATTTTTTTTAAATTTGTTGCATTAGTTCATAAGTAAAAATTTATAAAAAAAAAAACTACAATAGGAACAGTACTCTTTATAATGAACTAATGGTTCCGGAAGAAAAATAAAGTTTATTGTAAAAATATTATTATGTTTCTTAAGAAACTATTGCTTTTATATACCGAACTATTATGAAATTACATAATTTAAGTTTGTTAGATCCAGAGTTCATATAAAGAGGTTCGTTATATCTAAGCACATGATTCTTTTTTTTTTATATGGCAATTTGAGCTAATAAGGTGTTGTACTACTAAATATCAATAACATTTCTAGAATGTCGATCATTATAGATCATTGCAGAATTTGGTAATGCCAAATATGGAAAAACACCAGACTGTATTAGTTATTTGGTTTAGATTATCATTATTCTTTATTTACAATATTAATAGTTTAAATCGTAGTCTAGGACTAATATATATGATTTTCTAGTGCTTAAAACCTTTTATAGTTTTAATTCCCAGCTGACAATATAGAACTACGATTAACCGCACCAATATATCTTATTCTAAGTTATTGTGTTCTATTTTCATAATAAAATACATATATATGTACTATATATATGTACAAAACTAATATATATAGTGTTAATAATTAATAATTGACTCAATGAGAATAAACATCAGCAAAAAAAAACAGTAAAATGAAGTTATTTATCTAAGAGGAGTGCAGTAAATCACATAATTAGAGTTTGCATAGGTCATACTCAGTGATAGGGCTATTGACTAATCAAATTTTATCTTTTTTTTTTTTTTTTTTTTTTTATATTGCCAACGTAGAAACTTTTTTATTTTTATTTTTAAAGGCTTTTCTCTAACA